CATTAGCATAAACATCATGAGTTTACGGCCATGGAATCTCCCTTGGCCGTAAACCCATGTTTTGGTCACAAGTTGGCCGCAAACCCTTCTCATATCCAAGCACTAGACCTTGAACCACTAATGGATGATAGATAAGACTTTAAAACACCCTCTTGTGCACATTTACCATGAGTTTACGGCCGTAAACTCCATGGCCGTAAACCCATGGCCGTAAACCCCAAATAGTGGCCATAAACACCCCTTTGATGAATCACATGTGATTCTAACACTTGGTCCAAGTGTTTCCTAGTCCCTAAGGATGTTTCCTTGCATATTAGTTGCTTATAAACACTATATTCATGCAAAACATTCCATATATGTCATTTAGGACTTGTTTGTGTTTCGGGACTTCACTCGTGGAACTCCTCATCCTTACGCGCATATTCGTTTAAATCACCCACATAAGGTGAGTTCATACCCCTATAATGAATCTTTTAACTGTTTTAAATGCTTTTAGGGGGGGGGGGAATACAAGTTGAACACAATGATAATTATGTAAATGTTTGTTATAAACATCTTTCGAAAGATTGCTTATGTCTTTTATAAGTGATCAAAACATTTCAAAAACTCTTTTAAAGTTATGTTACTTTATAGTTTAACAAAACTCCGTTTTTAAAGTACAATCATAACTTAGCAGAAAAATGAGTCTTTTCAGTACCAGTTCAAGTAAAACACTAGTAAACTATAAGGGGTATAGTTTAGAGGTTCAATTCATACTAGATACTAGAGCATACTATAAAGAGAAACAGGGAGGTAGAAACAATACACGATAACATAGAGATCATACTATAAAGAGAAACATTGAGGTAGATACAATACATCAGAGATACATACTATATACTACAATAAAGAGAACATACTAAGATACTATAACAAAACGAACATACTAAGATGCTATAGCATAAGAACACTACAGGATCTAATTATACAAAATGAATCACTAACTCATTGTTCTAAATAAAAGGTGATAGTAAAATTGGGTATACATGATCATATAACTTTAATGTGAATTTACACGGCCTAGCAATTTGTTTGCGGAAGTCGCATTTGGTCCCCAGAATCTCTTGCAGGGAGAGCGTATAGTATGGGTACTATCCATCACATTATGACCTTAATAAAACAAACATGTTTTAAGGTAATCAGTACGTCAGGATGTCAGTTCAAAAGACAACTGTGTACTTACATTTTCCCATTACTTTCATATTGTGACAGTTCCACTTGAAAGTTAAATGCAAGCTATTTTCGAGTTAAGATAGTTATAAACTAGGGAAAACTTACATTTTACAAACGAAAATCAGAACAGTCAAGTCTAGTACATTCAGTAGAAAAGGGGGCCTATAATGCTAACTTTATGATTCCTTAGTGTATGCATTCAGGGATATATATTAATCGGTTCCGACAGGTAGTAGGATGTGTGCTTTCCGCTTCATTTCCCGTTCCTTGTTTGGTTGTGGGCTTAGAGCAGATTCACCCAGCCTACTATCTATCTGATCTTAGATATATATATATATATATATATATATATATATATATATATATATATATGTTTCCGTATACAACAAGTAATCATAAGGGGTACCAGGTATGAGCCAGGTCATATGACACTAATTCAATGCACCGTTTTCTAGTACAAAACATACTTTTCAAATAAAGAACTTTTGGAATACAAAACTAGAAACTTAACCAGTAAAGGGTTTAATCCATTTTATTAAACCAGTATAACTTAAAGGACCTTAGGTGGTTAATTCTATAATACCTTAGTTTATACATCAAGGTTATATATAATTAATATCCGATAGGTAGTTGGATGTGTGCTTTCCGCCTCATTCCCTGTTCCTTGTTTGGTTGTGGGCTTAGGGCAGATTCACACAATTAACTATTTGTTCGATATTAGATTATATATAGCTAGTATAAACTAAGTAGTTATAGAAGGAACCACTGTGGTTACCATTTTTACTAAAATAAATAAGGGTTTTCTTAAAGAATTTTTTCATCAAATATAAAGGAACTATTACAGTTAACTTCTTCAGTACCAAGTGAGTACGCAAGGGTTATATACAACGATGATCTAACAAACAATGGGATGTGTGTATTCCGCCTCATTTCATGTTCCTTGTTTGGTTGTGGGCTTAGGGCAGATACACACAACCGATTGTTTGGTTACTCTGAGTTTTATATAACTTGTATCCATTTAGTACTCATAGAAAGGATTGTAGAGTCATTTTTACTTATCTTTCATCAAAGCAAGAAATATAGGATTTTCTGGAGGAACAGACGAACTTTTCTAAACAGAACTTACAACTTACTACAACTTACATTACACCACTAAAATCTTATGAACTCACCAGCTTAAATGTTGATCTACTCTTTCAAAATAACTTGTATTCTCAGGAGACCAGTAGACAGGTACGCGCACTGGGATTCAGAAGATGGAGCAGTATAGCTTCATGTCTTTTTGTTATTTGCTATGTATTCTATATTATGTGAATCACATACCTTGTAAACAATTTCTTTCTAATGAAATGGTTGTTTATTACCTTGCTTACTATGATGCATGACTTGTGATACTAAACATGACGTCCTCCGCCCCCGAACGTTTCTGTCTTTCCGGTTTTGAGGTGTGACATAACTGCTAGAATGTTTAGAGTACATCGTATATCAAAAACATCTACAAGTTGTGGTGCGGATGCCAATGCTCATCTATAGGGTACTAGGTCCATTGCTGCCAATGTTCACCTATAGGGCACTATGTCCATACTGCTAATGTTCCTCTATATTAGCTTTCATTCCTCATCATTCATCTACCCATGTTTTACCCAACATATTTTATAGATATAAAATACATAAACAGTTTAAATCATTTAAAACATATATAAAATCGTTCATCCAACATAGATAGCAAATATACAAATAATATGCACACATAGCACATAATTTATATAAAATACTTCATATCTATGTGTAAGATGAAAGTAACTATGCACTCACCTGTTAAGGTGGTGATTCTGAACTCAGACAGCGCTTCGTTTCTTAAAAATAAATTCCTTTGACAAAAGCTAGTATCATTACCACTAGATTTTAGTCTAATGTGCATCGTGACTAATTAATAGACTTATTATTATTATTATTATTATTATTATATAAGCGTTAAAACAATACTTCTCAACCACTATTATTATTAATAGACTTAGTATTATTATTATTATATAAGCTGCGGTCAGAAGGGAGGGGAAGGCTTTGGGTGAGGACTGCGGTCCGAGACTGCGGTCCGAGAAGACCTTGGTCAGCAAACTTCGGTCTGAGAGGGGTACTGCAGCCGAGAGGAGTTCCGGTAGCTGAGAATGGCTCCGGTAGGAGTTTTTGGCTGCGGTTCTGGGGGCCGAGAAGGGCTGGTCTGATGACGAAAAATGTTATTTTTCATAAAAAAATGATACCAAAAATGCCATTTATTCATATTTTAATGAGGGGAATCTTTTCTAAAGTATTTTGGGTCAAAAAGAGGTATTGGAAGGCAAAAAGTGGAGTGTGCAAGTGGTTTAAAGGAACAAAAGTTGATGGGATTGGTCAAGTCACATGGTTTTTTACTTGGGAAGGCAAATAAATGTGGAGTACTCTTTACCCAAAAGAGTAACAAGGACAAGTGACTTTTGCAAACAGTTAAACACGTCCAAACACTTCATAATATAGATTCACAACAACATTTTTTGAGTTGTAAGATATGAATATCATACCTTCTTGTGAAGAACATAAGAGGTTGCTGGAAAGAAAAATCTTCAAAACAAAGTGCTTTTCTCCATTTTCTTCAATAAAAGCCCATAATTTTGAGTCTCATTTCCAAGAAAAAGCTTCCTGGAACAAATCTTCAACCATTTTTTTTAAAAAGACCACATAATAATTTCTTCTCCCTTTTTCTTTTTCTTTTCTTCAACAACATAGTAAAAACATTATGAACACGATTTTCAGTAGAAAATTTGAACGGACATCAACAACTTTTTTATTCTTGAAAGCATGAATCAACACCAAAAATAGAAGAACTCATCATAAAGTTTTCCGGTTTGAATCGAAAATTCTTGCAAAATCCGAAAAATCTTCAAGATAATCACCAAACGGGAGTCGTTCCCTTGAACTAGTCGCTTGAACGTTCAAGGTACGGCTCTGATACCAATTGTTGAAACCCATTTTAACGATCGGTGGATGCGGAATAAATAATATCTTGAGATTTAACGAACATAAAATGAAGAACATATGATGAGAAATTCCATAGAACTAGAAAAGAGATAAAATATTACAATACAAGAACACTGGTGGGAGAGAAAACTCTCCCTAGGTGGGAGAGATCCCACCACTTTCTCTCTCTCTAGAAATGCTACATTGGAGTGCACTGTTACAATTACATGACCAGCTCTCCTTATATATAGGAGAGAGAAAATACCAACAATACAATAAAGGGAATAAATAAATAAACTAACTATCACTCATTATTTGTAGAGCATTTCTATGCTCCAACAAAGACACACACGAAATTATTAGCTCTCTTCTTCTTCAAACACTCACAGAATTCGTCTAGCAATTTGGCTTACGATTTCTATGCTTAGAATCGTAAGTGTCAACTTGGATTATCCTAGGTTGAATTTCTTGTTACCCATACATAGGGTATAAATATCAGTTCGGAAAGTGTTTTCACGATCCAAGTTGTATCCAGATCTCCAACGTAAACATTCGCATGTTATTCGGTTTCTACCAAATAACTTCTTACTCAAAATCTCAAATTTAGTCCCATTTACGACTTGCATTTCATTTTTATGAGACTAAATCCGAAACAAAATACGAACGACTTCGGAAATTTTTTAAAAATTAGACCAAACATACAGTTTTAAGTAAAATAAAGGGACCAATTTGTAATTTACTCTATAATCATTATTCATTAGTGAATAAATTTCCTTTCAGACATATATCCTCAAAATGAAAAGTGTTGGAAAAAGGCGTGGATCTACTCACCGCAAAAGTCATTTTGCGGAATGCTGACTCCGTACCGCCCCTCTTTCCTCGAAGTTGTCATCACACTCTCGTGTCATTGTCTCCTTTCCTCTCGATTCCACACTTTAAACCCATCAATATGAATGATTTTGCACAAAAATGGTTCATTCTATCCTCCATCTAACTGGTTTTTTGGGGAAACACATCACAAAAGGGGCTTTAATTCCATCCACAACTGCTATTTCATCTGATAGATGCAAGTTCAGTCTTCAACAACCCTGTAGAAATGGGCAACAAACATGGGTCATTAGAGAACATGGAAAGAGAGAGACTAATTCCGTCGTCATTAGAACAAACATATGGTGTGCACGAGGATGATGGTGAAGTGAAGGCTTGTGGATGCTTTTGTTTAGGTTCAATCCGAAAGAAATTTAAAGGTTTATGGAGTAATTTACGAGCGGTGGTAGTTAATTCTTGGGAAGTTGGTCGATCGGACCCTAGAAAGGTTGTGTTTTCTGCGAAATTGGGGTTGGCTTTGGCTTTGATTTCTTTCTTGATATTTTGGAAAGAGCCTCTTCCGGATATCAGTGAACACTCCGTTTGGGCTATACTTACTGTTGTTGTTGTCTTCGAATTCAGTATAGGTAAATTTCAGTTCCCATCCTTTTCATCTTCATTTGATACCCGTTTTCCATTTCATGTTTCTTTAAGATTTGCAAGCTGTGTTCAATTGTTTTGGGTTTCAATTTGGAGTCTTTATGACAACCTAGTGATTTCTTAACATGATTTTGATACCCTTCTTCCCAATTTCATGTTTCTTGAAAAAGTGGATCTGGATGGGCCACTGGTTCGGAGTTAGGGTTTATTTTGCATCTTTATGTGAAGCTAGTGATTTCTAAATGTGAATTTAATTAACACCAATCATTTGGTCAATCTAGGCTTTACAACAAGGGGGTGTAAAATTGTAAATTACCATAACAATTTTCTATATTTTACTTTTTTTACACTACAAATTTCTATCCTAATTTCCATGTAAATTGATGGAAGTTTTAAACTTATTTTAGTATAGGAAACTATAATTCCCCCATATATTTCCATCTTCATTTGTTACCCTTTTCCATTTCATGTTTCTTGGTTAACATTGCCATGTGCCCATGTTCTCTTCATTTTTCATGTTACAAATTGCAATTTGAATCTTTATACAAACCTAGTGATTTCTAAATGTGAAGTTGATATGAATTTGTTGACAATTTAACACCAATCATTTCCCATTTGTATTGGTAGTGATGGAATTCAATAAAGTTTCAACCTTTCTTTGGTAAATTTAGGCCATGTTTGTCACACCACAGCTAGCTTTTAGCTTTTATTTCGAGCTTTTTTAGTTTTTCATGTGTGACAAACCAAAAAGTAGCTTATAACCCAGCTTTTTAAAAAGCTACTCAGACTAGCTTTTCAATGAGCTTTTTCTAATCTCTTCCAAAAATATACCATTTATTAATTCTAAAAAATTCAATCTTTTACATCCCCTTTTATGTCATTTTACATATTTCAACTAGCTTATCAGCTGTTTTTACCAAACGCTATTTCTTATCACCTAGTTTATCAGCTATCAGCTAGTTTTTCAGTTAGCAGATCTATAAGAACCCCATTACCAAAAATCATGATAAATCTCTGCTATAAGAAAACTAATTATCGAAACAAATGTGAAGTTACTTAATTGTCCCTACTAATTTTACGTTATATTCTTAATTTGTTATAAAGGCGCAACATTTAGCAAAGGATTGAACCGTGGACTAGGGACTTTATCAGCTGGTGGACTTGCTCTTGCAATGGCCGAGTTTGCTCACTTTTTGTGAACGCTTTGGGGCTGCATGGGATGAAGCTATTATTATTATCAGCATATTTACAGTAGGTAACCACCATCATTTTTTTTTTTCCTACTAAATAACAATTCACTTTTATTTTATTTTCTTTATTACATATATATCATCCTACTTTTCTTTTATTCCTATTACATAACTATTTCTTTTGTAGGATCACTTGCAACTTTTGCAAAACTTTACCCTACATTGAAGGCGTATGAATACGGATTCAGAGTGTTTACTTTGACTTATTGTTACATAATGGCATCGGGGTATCGAACAAATGAGTTCATGGGAACAGCTGTTGATCGGTTTCTGCTAATTGCATTGGGAGCTGGTGTTGGTTTGCTTGTAAATGTTGGCATTTATCCCATTTGGGCTGGTGAAGATTTGCATAATTTGGTTGTGAAAAATTTCTTCAATGTTGCTAACTCTCTTGAAGGTTTGCTTAATTCTTTGTGATTTATAAGGATTAAATGTCACAAATTTCATATGTTAATATGTTAATATGTTATGACTTCTTTTTCAGGTATTATTAACCAATATTTAAATTGTGTTGAATATAAACGAATCCCTTCAAAAATCCTTAATTACCAAGCTTATGATGATCGGCTTTATACCGGATATAGATCGGCTGTGGAATCTACAAGTCAAGAGGACACTTTGGTAATTTTACATTCAAAGTTCAAACCTTTTTTTTTTTTTTTTGAAATTTAGGTGAAAAAATCAAAATGTTTGATATGTTTTTTTTTTTAAGATGGGATTTGCAATTTGGGAGCCTCCACATGGTCGTTACAAGATGTACAAGTATCCATGGAGAAATTTTGTGAAAGTTAGTGGTGCTCTTAGACATTGTTCTTTTATGGTTATGGCATTACATGGATGCATACTCTCGGAAATACAGGTACTTCCAATTCCCATTCCAAAGTTTGAATTAGGGAATTCAGAAAATCGAATTCAACTTTCTTTCCAATTTTTTTGGTATTTATGATTGTGATTTTGTAATCTTTGCAGGCTCCGGCAGATCGGAGACGGGTTTTCCAAGACGAACTTCAGAGAGTAAGCACCGCTGGCGCCAAAGTCCTCCGGGAGCTCGGGAACAAAGTGAAGAAAATGGAAAAACTCGGATCGCTAAACATCCTCGACGAAGTTCTCAAAGCGGCGGAAGATCTACAAACGAAAGTCGATCGGAAATCCTACCTTCTCGTCGATGCAAACAGTTGGGAAATCGGAAAACCTCCAATCGAATTTCAAGACATACAAGACATCTCAAAAACTGACGACAACGATCCATTCAAATACCACGGGTACCATTCGTTCAGCGAAGCCCGACTCGATTTGGGAACATCGAGGAGTCCTGAAACTACGAATCTGCCATTCGCGGCTACAAACGGTTTTCACAAATCGTTGACTCGGGAATTCTCGTTTAAACCGGAAAGAATGGTGATACAAGATGAAGGGGATACATATAAGAGTGCAAGCGTGCTTTCTTTGGTGACGTTTACTTCGTTGTTGATTGAATTTGTGGCGAGGCTTGGGAATTTGGTGGTGGCGTTTGAGGAATTGAGTGAGACGGCCAAGTTTAAGGCGCCGGTGGCGGAGGGGAAGGTGGAAGAGGAGGAGGTTTGTGGGTTTTGGGGTAGGTTTTGGAGGTTTGTAAAGCCTAGGGATAGAAATGAGAACTTGTTAGCTTAGAAAAAAAAACTAATTTCTTTTCCAAGTGCTGTGATTGTTAATTTTGGTGATTTCATGTTTCAGCCATGGAAAAAGGGTTTTAATCTTTGGTAGTAATAACAAATAATTCGGGATCTTTCGTTTAAAGTTTCAATTTCCATAAAAATGGATTATCAATAATAATCTTAAGGCTCATACATAAACATAAGTAAACACTTTTACCTATCAATGCTATATACTATAAATCTATACGAAAACTAGGTTATAACCCGTGGAAACCACGGTTGGTAATTTGTACAATGTTGTAAGAAAATAAAAGTAATTTATAGAGGTGTTAACAGGAAAAGAAAAATAAAATAGAAATACGATGTTATAATAAACAGTTAAATGCAAATACCTTGCTATTTTTTGTCTTGTTATAAAATACGATGTTATAGTCAACAATTAAATGAATGTACCTTGCTATTTGTTGTTTTGTTATTAAATACGATGTTTTTGTCAACAATTAAATGAAAATACCTTGCTATTTTTTGTTTTGTTGTACATTTTACTTACATTTTTTTATGATTATTACATTGTAGTTTTCAAATCAAAAGTAGGATGCTACTTCTTGCAATTAGGATGTTATAACTTATCTTCATTTGATTCCTAAACACGGTAAATACAATAAATATTTTTTATTATAGCGTTATTTTATGAAATTATTTTTTCGTTAACAACTATTAAGGAGACATACAATTTTATATACATAATATTTTACTTGTAGATATCATTTTGTTCAAGTGTTTGGTGATAGATTTGTAATTTTAATCATCCAAGTACATATTAATAGATGGCTCCTTATTTCATATGTATACCTTCGTTTCTTTCGGTATGAACAATTGTAAACCAATAGATGTATCAAATTTTGAACCTCGTGATATGTATTGTCTTTAATGATTGTGACGAAATTGCCCCTGTATATATTTGGTTATTTGGTTATTGTCAGGTGGATTTACACGTGAGAATACAGTGTTGTTGCTAGTTCAAACTTGAATATATGTTTCTTTTATTTCTAGTTCCTTTGGTATTTTGAATAATAGGATATGTTTTCAAACGAAAAAAATTATATGCCACAAAAAGTAGGAATGACCAACAATGACCAATGTATTTCAAGTTTTTGATACATTTTCTAAAAAAAATCCTATGTATTTCCAGAGAAGAAGAGAAGATCTACGGTTGGTGATTTGTAAATAAATTTAAAATTTTGGTACTTGTGATCATTTTTTGCTTGACTGGAAGATTAATTATTAAAAAGTAATATGTTATTAGTTCAGTGGCAAGATGGTCATTTTTTTTATAGGGGTATAATTCTCCAACTTGGAATTGTTTCAACAAACTTCTTAAAATATTTTATTTTACTTTTTTGCAAAAAATGCATCAGACCTGCAAGTTTATGCTATTTAGTATTTAAAATTTGCAAGTTCATTGTTATTAATAGACATCATTTTTTTATTTGAAAAATGCATAAGATTAGTCTCACTATTCCTATCTTCTGTCATGCATATTCATGAGAAAACATAAAGATACTTGCATTTCGAATGGGGAGATTCATATATATATATATATATATATATATATATATATATATATATATATATATATATATATATATATATATATGACAATCATTATTCATATAGCAATTCAAATGTTTACATCATTTAATATATCATAAAGCTAGAATGGGTTGTTCCTTTCACTTCATCTCTACAAACAACAAATTAAATTGAATGGCATACCAAAAATTGTGCTGGCATAATTTTTTCCCTTTTTGCTAAAAACATATAACAAAACCAAAGAAATATAATAAAAACTAAAGCTTATCTTAGTTTTCATAAATTTTTTTGCTCAACCACATCTTACTTTTTAAAATTTTTGGTGACTATAGCCATTTTTTGTTCGAGTAATTTTTGTAATAACAAAAAGAAATCAATATAGGATCTTATAAAGTATGATACTACATTATTTAGAGAGTATGATGCTATTTCTTATAACCAGCCCTTACACAATCTATAAATCATCTAATGAGAAATTTTAGTAGTAACTGGTACTAACATTTTGGTCCAATGTTATAGATTTATATTAAATTCATACGTTTTATCTAAAAAAAATCAAGTAAAAACTTTCTTAAGAGAAATTTGAATCAAACTACTTGCAATGAACACACAAACAATTAACCATATCTAATTCAGAAGTTAAGATTTTTTCACGTAGAATCATCTAATATGTAGCAAAGAATAACAAAAACTTTTGGGTTAAGTTTTTCAACAACCTTTAGTTCATTTTCCTGTCACCTGATTAATTCCAACTCTTATATATAGACCCAAGTGGAAATCAAAAGAAGATGCTAATCATTTTCTTTCCTAACTCAGAGTTATTATGTTTGTAATCTACAATAGTTTTGCAAACTTACCCAAAACTTTATGCTTGTCTATGCAAGGGATGTTGCATTCTTTATGAATATTCCCTTACAGAACAATTAATCCAACTTCAACCTATTAGTCATCTGATCATTCAAATAATAAACTAACTTGTGAAAAATGTTACATGTGAAATATATTAAAAATATTTGACATATCAATCCATATATTCATAATATGTAAAACTTAACCCAAATTATGAACTGTCTTTAAAAGATTAAGATAAAAAAGGGAATATTTAAGTGATATTCTGACCTTAACACTCCTGCAGAAAAACATGTCAATAATTATCAATCTTTTATTCTCCATTTCCAGCACAACTAAGATGCAACCATGTTAAATATTTACCAATCTTTAGATTAAGTTGTTACCATAACGTCTAACATAAATAATAGAATAAAGAACTTTTTAAATGGCTGCACAAACACATACTCAAATTGAAATAAATAAAATTGAAGAATCATCTTGACTGCAAAAGCAGCACCATATGAAGCTCTCCTTGACCTTGCAATATTAGCAAATGGTTGTAAATGGAGGTGATGCACAGGCTTGAAACTGTAATATTAGCAAATCTTTTCGACATTCTTACATCTTCACTTTGAGGTCCAATTATCAAGTTTTGAAACAAAATAAAAACTAACCCTTGAAATCCAACTCTTAGTTGGCCATACTTCTCCCCATCTCTTTCTCTCTCAACAAAATCATAAAAGGAAGCAAGTTAAAGAACTTAGGGATGTTTTTTTTTTCGTTTTAATGATTAATTCCAAGCAACTTTCAGCATGTTTTGACCTAAATTTACAGGTGACAGCAAAACCATAGAACTAAAAAATAAGATTTACCTAATCGTTTTCTTGATAGTCATAGAACAACCTCAAGAGAAACATCTGGTTTCTATCAAAAGTACCAAACCAAGAAGGGGAAAAAGAGAAAGGCAGCCAGGAATTGAAGAAAAAAAAAAAGAATACTTACAGAATATGAGAACAAAGTCAATGATTGTCATTTTATGGAAGCGGTGCGCCATTGTTATGCTCCAAGCAAGAGAAGCACGAATCAAAAGGTTTGCGGAGTTATGGTTTAAGAGAGGAAATTAGAGATGAGGAGTAGAATCCTCTTTGCAACGCAACCATTGATAGAGAGGAAAAAGAGTATTATGGTTTAAAAGTAGTGAAGAAAGGCAGGGGATTTGCGAGATTTACAGATCGGCAAGCAACAAATTGGCGAGATTTATGGATGTGAGAACTAACAATAACGTAAATAAGACTGAATTTAAGGGATTAATTGGCATTATATATGGAAATGCCAAAATTGGGGGATAAATCATAAATGACAGAGCGAATCAAAATACAGGCATGGGTGGGAAAAAAATCAAAGCATATGTGAAAAAATGACACGTGTATTGAAGGAGGTGTATAAGGGGGACACGTGGCGCCTTAGAGAGTCTTTTATTAGGAAGAGATATCACAAAAGTAACCAAAATGTGTGAAGACTTTTAACAAAATAATCTCCTGTTTGAAATTTTATGCAAAATAACAACATATATTATGTTTTGCCCCAACCAAAAAGATGGTATATTTATGATACGAGCATATTGTTATAAAGTTGACTATTACAAGAAAGTGCACAAGAGGAGGTGGAAAATTATACGGGTTAGATATTTACAATACCGATATACATATACATATACATATACTATCAGAAGAAAGAGAGAATGATGCCTCATAAAGATGGTAGATACATGTTAGATTGCTTTGGATTCACACATTCGGATCTCATCCAACCAATTTTATGCTTCACATTGTCATAAACAACCAAGTTTCCACGCATTGAGATGTCTGCAAACCAAGCAAACGAAAAGGGCAAATTTGTAAATACATAGGACTTAATGAGAAAACGTCATTTTGATGACTTTTTCTATTAAGTCAAAAAGAAACACTACAAATAACATCTAGCAAGAAAATCATATGTGCTAAAAACATTAACCAAATCGTACCTCCAAGAACTATATGTGATCCATCAAGCAAATCACTACCATCAAGAATGCCTAAGCACACATTCCCCTTGTTCTACATACACAAAGAGAGTTACATTAGGTCATAGAAATTAAACCACATATTAAATTAAATCTAGGGCACAATTCTTACACTTATGACCAAATAGCCCTCCGGAGGTATCCTTAGATTTGTCGAAATACTCCACCATTTTCTCCCAAACTCAAGATTCAACGGTTTGAAGAATTTGCTAACATCTTTGATAGATCTATAAACGAGTCAAAACTTATAACTTTAGATTAAATGCAAGAAATAGCAACATACTTTTAATTTTTTTTTCTTCTCAATGTACCTTAATGGAGTCTTGAATCTCCAACAAATGGGAAGTGTTGTATCTGAATCTTCCTCAATGAAGCCATCAAGTGAGACATCTTTAAGCTACAATTTATATACAGAAAGAACGACTTAATAAAGAAAGTCAGAGAAACAAGGCTTTTCCGATTAAGTCCTAACTTTTTACAAATTTGCCCTCATTTGTTTGTTGTCATTTTCTAAAATATCTTTTAAACATCATTTATTCAAACAACACTTAATGGATGAAAAAGGAAAAAGGGCATGAGTAATGAGTTACTCACCATAGTAGTTAAATCATAATAAGCTTGTTTTGTAAAGTATGTATATGAACTTCCACTATCAAAGATTATTCGTCCATTTCCCTTTTTTTGATGATGTAAACCAAGTTGTTTTGATCCATATGTCACTCTAGAAACTTCTGCAAGATAATTCCTTCACATGGGAAGCTAGATATCAGAAAAATGAAGTATATAAGAAAGGAAAATTTTACTTACACCATTTTATCGATTTAGCCACTGAACTATTATCTTTTATTGATTTAGCTACTCAACTATTATCATAATTTTCATAAAAAAATGATAGTTCAATGGCTAAATCGATAAAATAGTGAAAGTATGTTGTGTTTTTTTTATCTATATTTTGCCCTTTTTCAAAACCACACGTGTACCAATGGGTGGACCCACATGGAAGCTAGGGTTATTGTACTTTCATTTTTTTCTTCTTATTGAAACCTTGTACTTTGAAATATCTACCCAATAATTTTAGTGAAAATAGTTGTGTATTTGGAGGACATTGCTATAATTGGATAGATTTTTTAAGTTACAAACTTACAATGTTGTAATAGGAAGAAATGAAAGTAAGATACTATCAAAAACATATAAATTTAAGTATGTTGCTATTTCTTTCATTTGACACTAAAAAATTCAATAAAAAACACAAAAAAGAAATGAGATGCTCACATGGAAGCATCATTGAGCATGGGAACCCAAGACATTTTGACTTGTGGCACAAAGTCAACTCCTAAGAACATGTATCCACCACCAATGGACTCGGATGTGAGACAATGGCCAATCACATTGTCAATAATACCTTGTTTTGCTAATTGAGAAGGCAAGCTCACTTTAGCCCTACTAAGTCCAAGAATCCCATCCGTTTTTGTCAAAGAGTTTAAAAGCATGCCTTGTTGATCATATGCACACCTACACCACAACAAAAAGATATCATTTTTTTGTATAAATCTTGATTGTGTAAAAAAGACGTAAATGCCCTCATAATCGCTATCATCGGAAAATGACCCTAGAAGGCTTGTGTGACTGATGTCAATGGAACAAAAGTTGCATTTTTGTCTCTCCCAAAAAAGTGGGACACGACTCAAATTCAATCTCCTGATTGTGTGAAAGACGTAAATACCCTTATAATCCAAAATAGTACTAGAAAGCTTGTGTGACTGATGTCAATGGAACAAAAGTTTCATTTCTTTGTCCAATCCAAAAAGATGGGACATGACTAGCACTTGATAACACGAATGTACAAAAGACGTAAATGCCCTCATCATCCCTATTATCGGAAAAATGACCCTAGAAGGCTTGTTTGACTGGTGTTAATGGAACAAAATTGGCATTTTTGTCTCACCCAAAAAAGTGGCACACGACTCAAACTTGATCTTCTGTGCAAAAGACGTAAATACCCTCATCATCCTTATAATCCAAACTAGCCCTAGAAAGCTTGTGTCATTGATGTCAATGGAACAAAAATTGCATTTTTTGTTCAACCCAAAAAGGTGGGACATGACTATAACTTGATATCCCATATGTGCAAAGGACATAAATACCCTTCTCTTCCCTATAATTGAAAATAGCCCTAGAAAGCTTGTCCAGTCTCATCCAAATATATCCTTACTAGGAAGGGATATATATATATATATATATATATATATATATATATATATATAAGAGAAGAATTGTACCCGATGATAATTTTGGAATCAATTGATGTGTTGTTTATATTTACAAGACGAATGTCATCCCTTGAAAGTACCCCTAAAGAGGAGCTATGATCAGCATACTCGATTTCATAATCACACTGAGTGCAAGACTCACAAGATCCAGATTTGCTTGTATGTTTGAAATCAAAACAGAAAGAGTCCTTTGAAGATAACAGATTTCCTCTTGTTGGCTTGTAATAAGGGTGTGCTCCCTGAGTTCATAATTCTTGTTATTACAAAAGGATTTACATACAAAACTTTAACAATTATTAAATCAATAGAACTGTGAAAATAGTCAAAGTACAAGTGCTTTTCTGTATTTTTACCTTGGAACAACTAATGCAAGGGGCATCACATTGAATCCATGTCAAGTCACTACCAGTGTCTATGTCAAGAAAATACGGTTTAGGAGGGCTTCCAACATGAATCTGTGTGTAATATAGCCTGTACAGTTTTCAAATGAACAGATTAAATGCAAGAAATAGCAATATAATCGGTTTAACATGATATTGCAACTTCAAATCGTAATTCGTATACCCAAACATATAGAAAGAAAAATTGAAACTTCAAGAACACATACCCATCTAGAAAAGTATCCCCATTGATAGGTAAAACTGCACTAGAGCTAGTTACAACCTTGATGGGCAACCCTCCATCATCGACAGGCAAAACCGCACTTTTAGAACCAATCATCGTAAACTTCCCCAACTTAACCTCCCTATCTCTCGATTTCGACATTTCTCCGGACCCCATTTTAGGATACAATGGAAAAATGAAGGAATTAGGTTTTTTATCATCATCTTTATCATCTTGATCAAGCTCATTCAAGGATCCGGGACTAGTTAATTTCAAAAGACTTTGAGGGGATTGTAAGGAACAAAAGGTTAGTATGGCAAAAAGAGCGATACCCATAAGAGTCCAAGAGATTCTTCTTCTAGGGTGTCCGAAAAGGCTTCTCCTCGCATGAGGTAATGTGATCGGAAGGTGCGATGGTGGTGCTGACTGTGGTGCTGACGGTGGTAGTGGTGGTGATTGATGTGGTTGGTTGGAGAGGGTGAAAGCTGTGATGGTTTTTCCTAGAGAAGGGTTGTCTGGCGGAGGGAGAGTGATGAAAACAACTCCTTTCAACTGAGAGCAATCTTCATCGTCACCGGATGCCATATTCTTCTCTCTCTAAAACCAGACTTGAAAATCTATGTGTAGAGACAGAGAGAGAGGGTAACGAAGAAAATGATGAATAAAGAGTGTCCGATTTCTTCCATCATAACTAGAAGTATAGAAAGAGACTGGAGGTACGACTCAGCTCGTTTACTTGAAACAGATGAAGATGCAGCGAAATTTCTTCCATGGATCACATTTGACAATGACAGGCTACCAAACCTTGAAATTTCTACTCTGTTATATTCTTTTTTAATTAATTTGTCTACATATTTATCCTTTTAATTTGTTTGACTATATATATTCGGTCATGACCGGTTTATTGCAAGTAAACTAAAATCCAAATAAACTAAAAAAAAATGATTTAATAAAAAAATTCTTAATATTTTTTTGTTGCAAAATAAGTCATTGTTGTTTTGGTACACATTCAACACTTATAACCGGTTTTTTTAGGTTTTTCTCATGACATCCTAGGTCGGACAATCATTAATGAGGTGTTTGAGGTTTGTTGATGCTTATAGTCATCGCGATATCAACTGTTTGGTTGCTTTGGTTTTGTGTTTCGCTTAGGTTTTATGTTCTGAACGTCGTAACTTCTTCATATGATCTTATATTTTAACGATCTTTATGTTCACGCATTCATATTTAAGTCTACTACAACTTTTGTTTAGATTAATTCCACTAAGAAGTACTATATTTTTACTTACGATCTTTATATACATGCATTCTTTATGAATGTATGTATAAACATTTTTTTTATAAAATTGTAAGTAAAACATTTTACTTTTTAACGAGAGCAATATAAACAAAAATTGTAGCAGACTCAAATACGAACACGCATATATAAAAATCGTTAAAATATAAGATTGTATGAAGAAGTTACGACATTTAGAACACGAGACCTAAGCACCAAACAATCGAGGTTGCAGTGACCATAAGCATGAACAACCCCGAACACCTCATTAATGATTGTGTTATGTATGATGTCGTGAGAAAAAACCTAAAGAAACCGTTCATAAGTACTGAATGTGTACAAAACAACAAATACTTATTTTGCAACAAAAAATATATTAAGGACTAAATGTGTACAAAGTGAGAAATATATTACTCTATTAAGTCACTTTTTCTGACTTACTTAGAGTAGCCAGTCATAAGGAACGAAAGTGTACAGTTAAACAAGTTAAAATATGTAACATCCCAATTTCCGAGAATGAGATTTTGAGGATTTCAAACAATTAAAGAAGCCTACTCGACGAGTTGGAGGCCCCAACTCGTCGTGTAGGGATTAGTCAGCTCGCATGTTTTATGAGGTATACTCGACGAGTCGGAGGACCCCGACTCGACGAGTAGGAGCTGGAAAATGAAACCCTAATTTTTAAGGGTTTGCACCCTATTTAAAGGACCTTAAGTCATTTCCTCCCGCCCCTTACCATGCCACACCCCCAAACCGGAACGACGGAAATGTTCGGGGTGGATGACGTCATGTGTAGTATCACAACAATTGTATCATAGCAATCATAGTAAACACAACCGTTACATTGAATAAATATATGAAAAGAGTTTACATCTGTTTGATTCTTGTTTTTATACACCAAAAGTATAATCAAAATAGAAAGACGTGACTATATACGCTCCGTCTTCTCAAAACTCCGAGAGGTACCTGTCTACTGATTTCCTGATAATACAAGCAGTTTTGAAAGAGTATCAGCATAAAGCTGGTGAGTTCATAAGCTATGTTTTTGTAGTGAAAATCTGTTGATGAATTTGTAGAAATGTTTGTATGTTTCCAAGAAAATCCAATATTTTCTTTAGTAAAAGCATGACCTTGCTAGTTCCTTCTATGAATGTTTGGTTACGGTATCCTTTGTAGTATAAAACATATTAGTCTGTATGTTACTACTAGAGTGTATAGTATGATGAATTCTGTATGAAAAGCCACTGTGTGGAATGTTTTGTTTGAAAACCCTGGCTACCACCATTATGTATGGTAGTTTTATTAAATAAAGCCATGTGTTGTATTTCTGAAATCCCCAAATGTGGTGTATAATAGTTCTATTAATTAAATAAAACTAATGAAGAATGAAATCTTGTAAACAAATGTCAGTTTATACTTATTGTGAGTCGTATAACCATGCTTGATATGACCTAATGACCTTTTCGACGTTCTTCAAGTATCGGTTAAATGACATTTGTCACCCCAGACATGCCTGCCTAACTGTAGCTAGCAGTTCAGGTGTGAGATTGTCAGTCCCGAATAGATCTATTCACAAATCTCACGCTCTCCCTCCAGGAGACTCTGGTTATACTATGATAGGATTTAGTTCAGTACACCAAATGGTACAGTTTTGAAGTAGAGTCTCACAATTCTGTATTAACTAGTTTACGTGTAGTTCTTGTAGTGATATACTGTATTGAAATTCGTGTGTATACTGTATGAGGTAATAATTATACTTAAATAATTATTAAATGTTGTACTCTTGTAGTAGTGTATATCACAAACTAAATCGGTCATAGTTTATATGTTTACCCATGAATGAAATGTGAATCGGTAAAAGCTATGTATTGGAATCCCCAAACTATACCCACTATAGTTTGCTTGAAATGTTTTGTTCTTGATTTGTAAATTGTTCTGAAAACTATGCAATTATGTTTCCAAGTTGAAAACATCCCTTATGCTCAGCATAATACAGAAGGGATAAAATATCTAAATATTTTATAAAGGTATAGAAACTGCATGTTTGTATTGATTTCATCCGTTTTAAGTTTATTGAAATCCTTTTGTATGAATTTCATAAAATCATTTATGTTTGGCTTGTATTCCCCACCTGAAAACATTAAAAACTCGGAAAAATGTAGGGGTATGAACTCACTGTTGTTGTGTGAAAACGTTGACTGGAAACGAAGATCCTCGGGTTGTTGTACATGGCACTTAACGGAATCCTAATATCAAAAAATACATATATGCATCCAGATTAGCGATTTCGTTAGGCAAAGTGTTAGAAAAACACTTGTTTTCGGTTAAGGAATGTTATCGGGACCTGATTGAATCGAGAAAACGAGCTTTTCGCTGCTTAAGAGGCGTGTACGGCCGTAAACAGGGGTGTACGGCCGGACAAGCGGTGTACGGTCGTAAACAGGGTGTGTGACATCCCCAAACTCACGGCCAGAAAAGACCGATTTGTTTATGCTTTGTTTTATAAATCAGAGTATTATTTTAAAGAAAACAGTTGCGGAATTTGTTCCCAAAACAAAATGTGATAAGAATTTATCAAAGCATTTCTTTAAAGAAATGTATTTTTTTATTAAATAACAAAATCTCGGGATGTCATGTTCCGATACAGACCAAAAGCATAAACAGTATAAAATAGACCTCACAACAGTTATTTATAACTACTGATCTATAATGCAAAATCTCTCGTCAAGTCCACCAACTTATACTCTTGTGCCATTACCTGTAATGCAAAGAAAACTGAGTGGGTCAGGCTTGGGAGCCTGGTGAGCGTATATGGTTTTCAACCCACAATAATATAATTATTATATTCAATCATCAAACAATCAACCCAATTACCCATCCCCATTATCTTCTTTATTTCTTAAAGATTACCCTAAGAATCAACTATTCCTCGTTCATTTATTCCTAAGGATTATCCTAAGGAATCGACATGAAATCCATCGTTGCCAGGATTTTCTCAACAGACACTATATCCGTAGTTACCAAGCGCTAACTCCATAGTCGCCGGGGTTTATCTCGTTTATTGACAGTATTGGTTCCGAGACATCCTCTAGCAATACATATCAATGGGTTTTTAGAGTACACCGGTGAACATCAAGTCCACAACACCTACAAGTTGCGAGCTTGCTAGTGTTCCACAAGACTGTCTAGAATAGTCTGTGGTTGTCATCCCTACTCTGTTGAATGACGGGGGCCATCGTTTGGGTAAAGGTTTCACTCATTTATTACCCAAACTAATCTTTCCTCATCTCATGATCTATATCATCTTTCATCTCATCCCCAAACTAATCTTTCCTCACACACCAACTATTTCATCTACCCATGTTCTACCCAACATATTTGTAGATATAAATCACATATATAGTTTAAATCATTTAAAAAAAAACCTATATAAAACATTCATTGAACAACCATCTCAAGTAAACAAACAACGTATAAACACATATCACGTATTTCATAGCAAATACTTCATATCTATGCGGTAGAAGAAAGTAAGTACACACTCACTTGATTAGACGATTCTCGGACAGCACTACGGCTCGTAAAGTAGTATTCTTCGGTGAAACTATAATATCTTCACACACCGGGCTTCTCGCAGGCAGAGCTTCGGCTCGGAAACTCTTTTCTTCTCGGGATCTTCGGGCTTCGGGACTTGCTTCGGGTCTCGGGATGATACCGGGGCTTCGTGGGGTTAAAATAGGGCTTAGAGAGAGTATCGGGAGTGGGAGAGAAGAGATGGAGCAACCACAATCGGCTGGCCCTTGATTTCTATTTATAGGACAAATTTCTCATTTTCCACGTCGTGAACAGTGTTTTCACGTCGTGGGCTTGAACGTCATTGCATGCGTCATCGTCCACTTGCTCTGTCAGGCTCCAGAAGGCGTCAGAAGCCATGCCACGTCGTGACCACTGATTTCACGTCGTGGTCTCTGACAGTCTTGGGGTTTCGCGCCCCGAACTTCAGAAATTCATAACTTTCGCATACAAACTCTGTTTTCGACGTTCTTTATATCGACACGTAGGTAAAAACAAGATCTACAACTTTCATTTAGACTTCATCGGCTAATTTTTCTTTTATTTTTATTATATTATTTTTATATTATTTTTAGTAGGCCGAGACAGGAAAACTCCGCTAGAAATTCATAACTCCTTCATCTGACGTCCGTTTTCGTCTGTCTTTTTACCGTTGCACTACTAATAACGATATCTTCGATTCTCGTTTAGATTGTTTCGGCTAAAAACCGCTCGATCTCAAATCGAGTATTCGGGCTGCATACGGCTAAGTCGAAACTTCGGAAAATCATAACTTCCTCATACGAAGTCAGATTTGGACGTTCTTCTTATGCACGCTCTCGGTTTAACGTATTCTATGACTTTCATTTAGATCGCTAAGTCCAAATATTACTCTAACATAAAATTCACTATTTACGCCGCGCTGTCTCGTGCCGGTTCTGTCGCGAAACTTCGATAGATCATA